GGCCGTCCGGATAATCCTTCACTGGCTGTGTACTCACTTGGCCTCTCCTCTGAATTCTAAACCGTCTGCAGCCAGCCGGCCCCTGCGGGCCCTGCCAGGGTGCTCCCCGGCTCACTCCCGCATTATCTGTTTTTATTACCGTCAAGGTTGAGGAGCCCTGCTGGTGCTAAGGCCCTCTTTTCAGCTCCTTGTAACTTTCCGAAACAGTTCCCCTCAGGCCTCCTCTTGCAACAGCTGTGTTCCTGCCCTGGTGGGGCCGGAGTGGCTGCGGGTACCTCAGCTGCGGCCCAGGGACAGGGCCAAGTCCCTCCCTGCCTCCTTTCTTCCCTCTGCCCTTATTTGCTTTCTCTCCCTGCTAGGAAAGAGCTGCCCCTTCCTGGTGGCAGGGCAGGGGTTTCAGGTGTGGAGAGGAGCAGCAGCTCTGCCTGGCCAGCTGGGCTTTGGGGTTGGTGCTGTGGCTTTCCGAGCTTTCCTCTGCACCCCGCCTCGTGCTGGCTTCTTGTGTGTGTTGGTTGAGGGGAGGAAGGGAGGAAGTCTGGGCACCAGAAATGCCCCGTAGCTGCCCAAATCGCGTGGGGGCGGTAAATGCCCTCCCACCTTCCTCCCTCCATCTGCTCCACGTGCGTGTGGCGGGCACTTCCTGTGGAAACCTGCGACTCTGGCTCCGTGCTCCACCTTGCGCGTCATCCTGGGGGCGGGGAGGAAGCAGGTGGAAGAGGCGGCTGGGCTGGGAGGGCCCTGCAGAGCAGCCCCAACAGCACCTGGCTCTCTCCCCCAGCGGTGGCAGAGAAGGCTCCTCTCCCTGCTCCCAGTCCCTAACTTGCGCTGGGCCCCATGGGGGCTGAGCTGCTGTCTGTGAAGGGGCCACTGGTTGGGCCCGCTGAAGAGAAGGAGCCCAGCACGTGTGTGTCACGGGGCTCTCCGTCCCCAGAGTTTAGGGGCCACTCAAGCCTGGCCGCCCTTTATGTGGTTTGGTCCCCCTTCTTCCTGTCCCTCTGTCCTTGGTGTGGCTCTTGTCTCTTCAGTGGACAAGAAGCCTAGCTGAGCTCCATACCGCGCTTCTGCTGCGTGCAGCTTGGAAACACAGAACAGTTTCTGTCGCCGTCACCTTGTGATGGGAGGAAGAGATTTCTTTTCAGAGGGTGCTGAGGCCTGTGCATGGGATGCAGCGCTGGGTGTATTAGTTACCGTAACTAAAGGCACTTGGAAAGGGTGCAGTGGGCTGAGATGAGGGCCCACAGGAGCCTGCAGGAGAGGGAACATGGGCATGGGGGGAGGGCTGGAAGGGCCAGGCACGGGAGCGTGGGTGTCCCACGTGTGAGTCCTGGGGAAGCCTGTGTGCAGAGTCCCAGTGAGCCCCACGGTTGGGGGATGGGTCAGTGCTCAAGCAAAGGGGAGTGGACATGGCTCAGTTCAATGAGACCTGGAGAAGGAAGAGTCTGCTTCGGGTTGTCAGTGGGGAGGGCTTCCTGGAGGAGGTGCGCTTCCCTGACTCCTTCAGTCCTTCCATGCATTTGTTCAGCAAGTACTCATCCAGCCTCCCTGTCTACCTCCGGCTGCAGAGATTTGGGTCTGGGGTCTCCGCCTGCCTGGTGCTCCCAGCCTGGGAAGGACAGACAGAGCTCACTGTAGCCCCACATGGTGAACCGTCACAGCTCCTGTGGAGGCAGTGGACTGGGGGAGGAAGGAGCCTCACCAGGTGCCTTGGAGATGGAGTCAAGGAGGGGTCAGGGTGGAGGGAGTGGCTCTCACCAGGCCTCCTGCAGGGGAAGGGTCGGGCTGTCCGGTCTGTCCGAAGAGGAGCAAAGCTGGGGCCTGCTGGGACCAGGTTTCTGGGTGCTGTCACAGCATCTGGCTCAGAGGGAGGCCCCCGTGTCGTGGTAGGAGGGGACAGATGCAAGTGCTTCAGCTCTGGAGGCCTCAGTTTCCCCTGTGATGTGGGGCTGCACGTGTACTTCTGGTGTGGTGCCTGCCACACAGAATGTCTCCAGTGCACATCAGCTGCATTGGCCGGTGAGGCCAGGACTTGTTCCACTCAGCTCAGCCCTGTGTGGGCCTGGCTGTGGCTCCTGAGTCTGCCCAGGGACAGAGCCCGGGCTCAAACTGGCAGCACATACTGCATGTGGCCTGCTTTGCCTCAGAAGGAAAGACGGTGCTGGACAGTGAAAGCAGATTCTCGAGGAGAGAATCCTGGGCTGAGGAAGAGCAGGAAGAGCCAGACCTCGGCAGCGGGGAGGGACAGAGCATCTGCCACAGCCACGGCCATGGTGCGTGTGAGTGTGAGTGCCCGTGGCTGGCATGCATGTGTGAGCTGTGGTGCTGTGGCTTGTCATCTGTTCTGCTCCCCACCCCTCCTGTCCCCGCTGGGCAGCTGGCATGCCAGCCCTGGGAACTCCATTCCCTCTCCAGCAGCTCCCCTGGGCGCCCTGCAGCCAGTGGCCCTGTTTGGTTTCATTCATTCATGAATCATGGCTTGCTGAGGAGAAGAGAGGAGCCGGGAGCGGGGCAGAGCCCTAGCGAGGGAGCTGGCAGGCCTTTGGCTCTCAGCAAGGCCCAGTGGCTTCCAGCGGGCACCCCAGCCCCAGGCCCCAGAGCTTCCCCTTCTGTGCCCAGTGATCACTGATGCTCAGAAGTCCAGTGAGGTCCTGGGGCTGGGGCACTGCATGACCCTGGCCCCGCATCCTGGGGGAATCTGGAAAGCGCCCAGTTCAGCATTCACTCAGTGCTCACTGAGCAGCAGCTCTGCGCCCCAGATTCGAGTACAGAGCGTGTGGTGTGGTGCTGGAGAATAGCTGGCGTCATGGCCTGCTCCTCCCATGCCAGCTGCTGTGTGGAGCACATTGCATGTGCCAATTCCTTTAAGCCTTGCTGAAGCCCTGTGGGAACTGGGCTGTTCTTAGCCCCCATGTGCAGAGGGGGAAACTGAGGCCTGCACAGATTTAGGGGCCAGGGCCTGGCAGAATCAGCCCAGGCAGTAGACCCCAGAGCCCTGCACATGGTCCTGCACCCGGAGAGGTGGGTGCCGGCACCATGGGCTAGTAACGTGGAGGCAGCAGGCATTAGCCCAGCTGGGCAGGGAGGGAGGCCTTTGCAGAGGTAGCATTTTCACCTGAACCCAGGGGAATCAAGAGTGTCTGGCAGAGCTGGGCAGGGAAAGAAGGGGGTGCGTGTGCCTGTGTGTGTGTGTGCCTGTGTGTGTGTGTGTGTGTGAGAGAGAGAGAGAGAGAGAGAGAGAGCGAGAGCGCGCGGACACCTCTGGAACTTTTCACAATGCCTTTCCCATCTGCTCTCTGCCATCTTGTTTGGGTGACGAATGAGATACCATATGCAAGTCTGCACATCCAACAAATATTTACCGAGCGACTGTGTCAGACGCAAGCCTGTCCCGGAGGACACCGCAGCTGCACGGCAGACACAGCTCTGGCTCCACGGGCCCTGTGGTGTGGCACACAGTGGGCACTTAAGAAGTGGCGCCCTCCTCCCAGAGGCCCGGGACTCTTCCTCAGTTGTTCTTGCAGTGAGCATGTGTAGAGCACCTACGGCACGCCAGGCCATAACTGGAGGCTGGCACAGAGGGGAGGAGGGATCCAGCCTGCCCTCCGGGGGCTCAGAGACCGTGTGCAGAGCGACGCCGCGGGCTCCACCCTGGGCTTCCTGGGGACAGCGTGGTCCACAGCTCAGGCTGGGCCCCCAGGGCTCAGCTGGATCATGAACCCGAACTCTGATCGGCCAGGTTGCCCGCCACAGGCCTAGCAGAGGCTGGCAGCATGCCTGAGCCCACACCTCACCCCCAGAACAGCCTCGGGCTGGGCCCTCGGCCTGCACTGCCCTTGGCCAACTGGTCCACCCTCCTCCAGGCCTCCCATGCCCTCCGCCTGCCCTTGTCTGCATCTCACCCAGGCTTGGGCTGTCTCTCTGCCCAAGGGTAGGTGGTAGAAATGACACTGTCAAAGGGCTGACTGGGACTGCAGTGTTTTCTTCCCCCAGTGCTAACATGCTGACCGTAAGGGGACTTAAAACCCGTGTGTCATCTGAGCGAGCGATGACAGGACCAGGCGACTTTGCCTGGAGAAGACTTAAGGGGGACACGAGGGCTGTCAGGAGGGATTGGAGGCCTGTCATTTGTCATTTTGCTCCCACAGCTCCCGCTCCAGGGCAGATTGGGGCCAGTGGGGAGGCGAGGGAGGCCTGCCCTGTGGGCACAGCACCTGTCCCTGCCAGTGCTGTCCCTGGCAGTGCTGCCCCTGCACTGTCATCCATGAGCAGGGCCCTTCTAGCTGGAGCCACGGCAACCCTGTGCCCAGGAACAGCTCGTTCTGGCTGGCAGGTGTTCGCTTGCTGAGCCCTGGACGGGACATCACCAGAGGGTGCATGGACCAAGGACACCTGTTACTTCCATTCACATTAAGGCCATTTGCAATGGCAGACACACACTCCCCTCCTTCAAGGGCTGCTGGAGGGGCAGAGTGGGCTGAGGGACCTTGTGGGGCAGGAGTCGGCTTCCTGGCATCACACAGCGGGGGACCCTAGAGTCACCATTACAGACAGTGGTGTTCAGCTTTCCTTGGCAACACATCTTCTGCTTCAGATGGATTTCCCCATGCAAGTCCAAGGTGGGAAACAGAATGAGGCTGCTGTGAGTGAAGAGGCCCAACACCCAGCCCCAGGGCCCCAGAGAGGCTGGGGAGCCCGAGGGGTTCCAGAGAGCACATTTTGGGTACACAGCTGTGCACCTCATGGCAGGAACGGTGTCAGGCAGAGGGCAGGGACGCTGAGCTAGCCCACCCTGAACCCTGGCCGTCCCACTTGCCAACGGATTGACTGTCAACATGGCCTCCGACCTCTCAGTGCCTCAGTCTCCCTGCCTGTGAAAAGGAGGACACCCCGTAATGCTGATCTTGGTTGAAGCTGCTCCTGCGTGTGGCGCATTTGGGTCGTCTGGTGGGCGAGGGTGGGTCCGCTCTGCCACAAATGACGGCCCTGGTGCCTGAGACCTCCGTGGCCCGCCTGTGCCCATGTGCGGGACGGTGCCTACAGGTTGCCCATGTCGGGGCCTGAGGGCCAGCAGGAACTGGGCACAGGAGCTTGGGGGGCTGAGGCTGCACACCTGGTGCAGAAGGTCCGGCAGGTGGGCGGTGGGGCTGGGGAAGGAGCAAGCTGTTCTGGAGGGAACAGGTCATGCATGGGCTTTCCCGGGTGCTGGAGTGGGGGCAGCAGGGGAGGCGGTAGAGAGACCTGGAGAGGGAGGGAAGGCGGAGCTACAAGCTCAGGAACCAGGATGCCGATCCCCTAGATCCCCTCAGGTCCTAATCGCCACACTCACCGCACCCGCAGCCCACACGGGCTCCACTGTAAATAAACCGCGTCTCCTGGAGTGGAGGACGCGGACCTCGCGCAGCGGCTACGGTCACGGTGAGGGCTCTGGTGCTGCGGCTCCTCGTGTTCGCAGCCTGTAAACCTGGGGGCTCTGCGTTTACCGAGCGGAGGGGAGCGCTCCGGTGCTGGTCCGCACAGCTGGGAGGAGGTGGGTTTTCCTCGCGGGAAGCTTTTGGCTTCGTGAGGGGCGCCTGGCTGCCCCAAGGGAGCGGCTGGAGGGAGCGGAGCGGAGAGCGCAGGGCAGTGGGGCCCGGCAAGGTCCCGGGGCCCCCGCGGCCGGCCCCCCGGAGCTCAGCTTCGGCTCAGAGCGTGTGGGCCCTGGAGGGAGAGCGGCCTGCTCCGGCCGGGGCGTGAAGCCTGGCCCAGCTGAGGGGCACCTGTGGCCTCGCCTGCGCGTCGGCAGCGGTGTCAGGTTTGGAGAGCGGCGCAGAGGCCGGAGGAGAAGCCAAGGCCCGGGTCCCTACTTCACAGTCCGGGAAACCGAGGCAGCTCACCCGCGGGGCGGGGCGGGGCGGGGCCCTGGCTCTGATCTGTGTCTTCCTTCCAGGGGCGCCCCCCCGCGACGCGCTGCTCGTGTCCGCCGCCATCACCGTCAGCCTCAGCGTCACGGTCGTGCTCTGCGCCCTCTGCCACTGGTGTCAGCGCAAACTGGTGAGGTCCTGGGGCCCGGGGGGCGGCCAGGCGCAGCGCGTGGGAGCCCACACCTCACGCACGCACGCACGCCTTTGCCTGTCTGGGCCCCGCACCTCCGTTGCTCCCGAGCCACGCCCCTGAGGACTCGCACACTCGAGGCTGCTCCCGCCCCGCCTCTTGCAGCCTCGCCTCGCCTCCCAACCGCAGACCCAGCACACGCCCAGACAGTCGGCTTCGGCCCCGCCCCCGTGCGCTGGGCGTGGCTGGGCCGGGCATCTCGGCCAATCAGGAGGCGAGCCCGCCCTGGGTGGGCGTGGCCGGCCAGGACCCAAAGCCGAGGAGGCGCCGCCCGGCCTGCCCCGGCTGCGCGCACATCCATCCTGACCTCCAGTTTGTACAAGCACAAACGGCTGCTCTTTATTTTTTACAAGGGCTGGGGAATTAACGAGCAGGACTAGGGTCATCAATAAGTAACGAGACCGTCAGGAGGGACATTAGTCACCGAGGGTGCTGGGAGGGACAGCGGGCTGAGCCCTCATCTGTTCCGTGGGGGCCTCGGGCGCCCGGGATGCGGGGCCTTTGTGGTCCGGGCCAGAGGGGTCCCTGTTAGGCCCTGGGAGGGCGCAGGTGCCACCCCTGGGAAGCCTTTGCCTCCCTGCCCAGCCAGAGGGCTCCACGGGACAGAGGGGAGGGCTGCGACCCAAGGGCCCTGTGGGCGGGGCTTCAAGCCCCACGGCTTTGGACCTGATGGGGGAGCCGGGGGAGGACCCCAGGGGCAGTCAACCAGCGGGGCCCCTGCAGCCTGGCCCGGAGAGGGGCCCGACAGGCCGCGCACATCCGCGTGGGAGTGCGTGTGCCTGCTGCCCGTCCACCTGCAGGAGTGTGGCCTAGGCTGGCTGCCCTGCATGGACTCCGGTCCCCGAGTCTGCGTGCCTCAACACTGGCAGAGTTGAGTGTGCCTGTGTGGCAGGGTCTGCTCGTCTGCCTGCCCGTGATATCTGATGACCTTGTGTGTGCTGAATGTGTGATTACGGGCAGCGCGTGTCTCTGCACGCTGGACAGCAGGAGGTGGACATCTCACCAGACCCTGGCTTGAGCTGCCGTGTGTGTGTGTGTGTGTGTGTGTGTGTGTGTGTGTGTACGCGCGCATGCTTTCAGGCACGCCTTCCATGATCTGGGTGGACTGGCCTCGCCCGGCCCCGACTCAACTCCAGGAAGGCCAGAGCCGAGGTACAGGGTTCAGACATGGCAGCTTCCGTAGCCAGCTCAGGGAGTGCCTCAGCCAGCTGAGATGCCCAGTCCCAGCAGCCTGGAGCCCCGGCCGGGAGCCCTCTGGGCTCCAGACCAGCCTGTCCTCTTGGCTTGCTCTGGATAGAGCATCACTTTGCCCACCCTCCAACCCCCTGCCCCATGGTCCCGGGTGTCAGGGAGCTTTTGGTTCACGCTGTCTCCTTGCTGTGGAAAAAGACTTTCCGGTGCTGCCCCTCCCAGCAGTTGCTGGGCTCTCCTTGGCTGCCTGTCCCTCACAGTGGTGGTGTGATGTCCTTACAGCCCAGATCCCATTTCCAATGCTGACAACTTCCTCAGTCTCTGGCTGGCTTGTGGAGATCAGCCTGGCCGCCCCTCCCTGACAAGTGGGCTGGGGGTGCAGGCTCTCTGGAGCCACCTCAGGGCTCCTGGGGCCCCTGGATTCCTATGAGGTTGGGTTGCCCTTCAGATTGTGTCCTTCCTAGTTCCGGTCCCCAAAGGTACCCCAGCTCCTGCCATGGAGTAACAGTCACAGCCACAGGAAGGGTCTGCAGCTGTGGAAGAAAGAGGGGCAAGCAGAAGCTTCCAGGGTGCCCTGGGGGAGCAGGGTCCCTGTCCCCAGCCCTGCCTGGCCTTGAGGCAGGGGCAGCTGACCCTCCTTAGACACAGGGGAGGGCCTTGGAGAGGCCATCAGCGCTGCCCTGCCCCACACTGCCGGGTGCTGAAGTCCTGGGGGCTGGGCTGACACCTGGGGTCCCCCCAGAGACCATCCTGGGCCCCACAGGGTGACCCAGCCCTGGCATGCCCAGTTGGCACTGGAGAGCGCTTGGGATTTGAACCTGTGGGTGATGATGGGAGGGGCAGAGACATCTGAGAGGCCAGCAAGTTTGGGTTCTGACTCCGAGGGTCAGCTCAGAGCAGTGGCCAGGCCCCCGGGGGGGAAGTCCCCAGGGGGTGTGGGTCCCAGCCCAGGTGCGGAGAGCATACAGCCCTGCCTCGGCGGGCTCTGTTCAGGACGTGGGAGATGGAATAGTTGAGCCTGGAAATAACCATGCCTGGGGAGAAACCCTCACCCTTCAGGGGCTCACCTGCTGGCATTGCACTGTCTCAGGAAGGAGGGAGGACAGGACAGAGGCAGGGGCTGCATAGCATTGCTGGTGACTCCCGCAGTGGGCAGGAGCCTCCAGCACATGGACCTGGCAGCCCCTGTTTTGCTTTCGGGAGGATGAATTGCCTGTTGTGGCTGCAGTGCAGGGGAGCGTGTGTGCGTGCGTTTGAGTGTGTCTGTCCCCGCTCAGTGAGGCGGGGTGGCCCAGTGCTGGCTGCAACAGCTGGGCCTGCACAGAGCCCCCCCAGTCCACCCTGGCTCAGGCCCAAGGCCTGAGCCCTGTGGGTGCACGTGAGGACGCTTGGTGGCAGCCAGGAATGCTAATGGGGCCAGGCTCCGCGTGAGCTAAACTTAGAAACCCAAACCAGAAGGTGACCGGTGCTCAGCTTCCCAGCCGCAGGCCACCTGCCCGCCCGTCCTGGGGCACAGGGCAGGGGGACATCTGAGGCCCAGGCCATCCCCTGCAAGGTGCCAGGGTCCCCCAGCCTGGGGCTCGAGGGCACCCTGGAGCCCAGGACAGTGCTGGATACAGTCCCGAGCAGGAGGAACTGCCCTTCCCTGCCTCCACTGCCTACCTCACTGCCGCTGGTCACTGCCAGCCCTGCCTCGCAGGACACTGCCCCCACCATCTGGGAGCAGTGATGTGGCCAGTGTGACGTGACCAGGTGCCTGAGAGCCGTCTGTCCGTGGCAGAGGGAACTGTTTCTGGGCACCAGGCCAGAGGCCTGGAGACAGCAGACGGGCCAGGCCTGACTCCAGAGGCCGGCGCCGGATGGGTGCCATGGGTGCCAGGTGCGTCCTAGAGCCAGCTGGGCCGGGCCCCCCGCCTCCCGCAGCAGTGACACGCCCACAGCTGGGCTCTAGACCTCCCTGCCTCCTCCTTTTCCCTGGAGCCCCTGTTCTGGGAACCCCAACAGTGACCCTGTGCTGTCTCTGCAGGGCAAACGCTACAAGAATTCCCTGGAGACTGTGGGCACGCCAGACTCGGGGCGTGGGCGAAGTGAGAAGAAGGCCATCAAGTAGGTGCTGGCTGCTAGTTGGGGGGCACACAGTGGCCCAGGTGGGAGGAGCCCCTTCTGTCCCCTCCTCCTTGGGCCTGGCCACACATGTCCACATAGCCCCTGAACTCCAGGCCACGGGGTCTGCCTGTCCTCCAGACTCCAGCACCTTAGGGTGCCCAGGGCCCCCTTTTCTGCCCATGGCTTCTAGACCAGCACTGCAGCAGTGCCTGTGCCCTGCCTCAGCGCAGTTGCCATCCATCCAGACCTCAGATCACACACACTGTCCCCAGCCCCTTGGGCAGCCCTGGGACCCCCAGGCCCCTTCCTAGCCCCTGCTTCTGGTCCGGGAGCCCCCTCCTCATGGACTTGGGTTCTGAGATGCAGATGGGGGACCAAGAGCCCTGGGGACCCCAGCTGCACCATGCTGGGCTCCTCTGTCCCTGTCCCTTGCCTACCTGGGTTCCGCGCTGAGCCCCGAGAGCCCTCATCCACCCACCTACCATCCACAGCAGGCTCACCTCCCACGTGGCTCCCTGGGCAGTGCCCTGCTGAGTCTCACCAGAGAACCCAGGAGAGGCCCTGCCTGCCTGGCTCTGGAGGGTTCCGTGGCCAAGGCGTGGCCTGTGTGACTCTCCCCGCCCCTCATCCACCCCTCCTCTGCCCGCGCCTCCCCCCTCCTCCTGTGACCCTGTTTGGAGCCGCGATGCATGTCCAGGGCCGGCCGAGGGAGGGGAGCCTGGGAGGCTGGGTAGGCGGAAGGGGGGCCGGCCTCTCAGAGCCTTTGAAGCGGAGTCTGGCTGCCACTCTCAGTCCTCAACCCGGAGCCTCGGGCTGGGGCCTGCTGAGTGCAGAGGGGCCACGTGAGCAGAGCCATGGGCCAGGGCAGGGCTCTTTACTGGGCACCATGGGTATGCGTGGCAGGGCCACGATTCCCAGCCGAGGGAGGCAGGGATGCAGGGCAGTCAGTGGGCTCTGCCAGTGGGATCAGTACCCACATGGGTTCTCCAAGACCAAGGGCCAACATCCTCCCCCTTCCAGCCGAGTGTGCCCTGCCCCAGGGAGAGCAGCCCCTGCGTTGTTCCCAGGCCTGCACAGCTCGGCCAGGTGAGCCAGGGCTCCAGCCCGCTGCACCCTGTGGCAGTGCTTCCTAAGCTGCAATCCTCAGAGTACTTGGCCCCACAGGGCTGGTTCAGTGTTCCAAGGCCAAACAAGTTTGGGAAGCACTGCACGCTCTGCTTCCCTTTTGGCGATACTGATAGTTGTTGGCACGTCAAAGGCCCTGATGAGTCCTGCAGGGAAGGAACCTGTTTGCTCCACTCCTTTAAGTATGGGTCCTCTCCTCTAGTACACAGTGGAGACAGAGGGTGGGAGCCCAGTGGGGATGGGTCTTCTTCCCCAGGACTGGGGCGGACTGCCTGGGCCTCCACTGTGGGCATCCCAAGAGGGCCAGGGCAGGGGCCACCTGCTTACCTTGGTCCTACCCCACGCACAGCGGCGTCTGTTGGGGAAAGGGTCTTTGCCCTGGGCCTACCCTGCCTCCCCACATGGCCCACCATGAGCCTGTCCACCTTGGGGAGGCCCAGACCACCTTTCCTCTGGGCCATAGTGGCAGCTCCACCTCTGCCCGGCTCTCTCTTCTTTGTTCCTGTGTCTAAGGTTAGAACCAGAGTCAGGATCGAACTCCTGGGGAAAGAAGCAGGTCCCCCAAGACTGAGTTTGCAGGGTCCACAGGGCTTGCACCCCACAGTGCCCATCCCAGCCGTGCCCACCTTGGCCCATACCAGCCATGGCACGGCTGCCTCTGCACTGGTCCCCTGGCCTGAGAGCAGCTTCTGTCCTCCTGGTGCCCCCAACCCTGTTCACTGGAGCCTCTGTACTGGCACTGACCCCACCCTTGGCTCCCGTGCCTGAGCACCCAGCCTCCTGCCACAGCCCTGCCAAGAAGCCCTCATGTTCTCCATATGCCTGGCCCGTTGGCTCCTGCAGTGTGACAAGTCATAGAGTACGGGTGGCAGGCTGGGGGGAGCGCGCATTGCCCGCAGAGAGGCTCAGAGCACAGGGGGCTGCCTGCTTTGGGCCCCATGCACCCCATCACCCTGCCAGGGAGGGTCCCAGAACTAAGGACGCTGGTGACCCTGTCGCCCTCCTGGAGACAGAGGCCTGGGCAATCCCTTCTCCAGGGCCTGAGTGGATGCTTGTGGGTGCCTTGCACCCCAGGCTTCCAAGGTGGGGAGACAGAGGAGGCCAGGGACAACTCGGGACAATGAGAGGACAAGAAGGACAGGCAGGGAGCTGGGGCGGCCCCCGAGTGGCCCTGTGGACAGGAGCCAGAAGCAAGCGGGCCGCCAGCCTTCTCCTCTGACAGGTGGGGACACTGAGGCCAGAGGCAGGGCCAGCAGTTGGCCGTGGGGTCCACTCTGCTTCCCAGCCCGCTCCTCCCCTGCCCACCGCCTGAGGCCGACCTCCTGCCCTCCTGCTGTCCCCGCTGGCTGTCCCTCCTCTCCCTCTTGTCACTGTTCTCTCTCCCTCCAGCTCCCTGAGGCTCCCGTGGCCGCCTGCTGCTTCCTCCTCCCGTGTGGGTGTGGATGAGTGCTAGTGCCCGCCTGAGTGTGCGTGAGTGCGCGTGTGCGCCCTCGCCCGGTGCCCGCAGGCCTCTCTTCCTCCCGCAGGAGCCGACCCTCCAGGCCCCGCCCTGCGCCCCTCGCCCCTCGCCCCTCTTCCCCTGCAGGACTGGCCACCCTGGCTTCTTCTTGTATCTCCTGTTTTCTCCCCTCTCTCTCTGCCCCTCCAGCGACCTAGACAGAGACTTTTGGAATAACAATGACAGCACAGTGCAGCAGAAATGGAGCTCCTACCCTCCCAAGGAGTTTATTCTAAACATTTCACCCTACGCCCCTTATGGCGACCCACGACTGTCCCTCAAGTGAGTGGCTTTACCTGGTTTCACCCTGTCCAGTCTGCGCACGCTCTCCCGGCCCCACTCCCGTCCTACCTGGCCTCCCCTCCCATGGGCAGGCCGGCCATGGAGACGGGCAACCCTTCTGCCCCAGCAGGAGCCCCGCCCGCCCGCCGTCCCCAAGCAGGACGGTTGCCCGTTCTGGTCCCCACCCACGTGGCTGCTTCCTCCCCGCGTGCTGTGCTGCTGCCGCCGCCGAGGCTGCTGGTGGTGGTGAGGTCTCTGACTAACGGCTTTCTCTCTCTCCCTGCCTGGGGCCTCCCGGCCTGGACAGCCCGCTCTTCCTCCGTCGTTAACCCTTCGTTGTCCTGTGGGACAGGTGGAGGCGGCTGCCTCCACCACCCCCGCCGCCGCCGCCGGCCCGGCCCGGTCCGGCCCGGTCCAGCCCAGGCGGTGGGGAGGCCCCTTCCTGCCGTGGTGCGTGGTGCGTGGTGCGTGGTGCGTGGTGCGTGGTGCGTTGCTCTCGGCCTCGCCCGCCCTCTCTCCTAGCAGGCTCTGCTGTTAGCCCGCCCCGGTGCTGATGTCTCTCTCTCTCTCTGTCTGTCTCTTGTCCGTCTGGTCTGTCCCTCTTCTCCTCTCTGGCTGTCTCTCTTCCTTTTATCTGTGGTTGTCTCTCCTCCTCGCCCCCCCCGCGCCCCCCCGTGTGGCCCGCCCTCTCTCGCCACCGCCACCGTCCGCCTGGCCGGCTGCCTCGCGCGCGCCCCCCAGTGGCACCCTCCTGTCGGGCGCCAAAGTGGCCGCCGTGGCGGGGCTGGCGGTGGAGCGGGAAGGCCGGCTAGCGGAGAAGCCGGCGCCAGCGCCGCCGCCCGGAGAGGACGCCTTGAGAAGCGGCGGGGCTGCCCCCAGCGGGCCGGGCAGCGGCGGCAAGGCGGGGAGAGGCCGCTGGCGGACGGTGCAGAGCCACCTGGCCGCGGGGAAGCTCAACTTGTCCAAGTGAGTGATGGCGCCTGTGGCTGCCGGAGCCCGGAGCTCAGGCCGCCCACCAGGTGGGCAGCGGGGCCCGCACCCCTGCTGCCGCCCCAGAGGCGCCGTCCTCGGCGCGGCTCAGCCCATCCCTTCACGAGTCTTCACGTCCCCGCATCAGGCACAGCCCACCCAGCGGCAGTGTTGCATTTCAGCCTCCGGCGGCCGCCCATCAGTCACCGCCTCCTCCTCTCAGTGACCCGGCCATTCCACCCTCTGGCTCATCCCTCTGTGGGCAGCAGGCCGGGGCTGGCCCCTGCCCTGACCCCGCTGTGGCAGTTTGTTTCTGCCCATCTTCACTGGCCTCGCCCCCTCCCGCCAGCAGGCGGCTCCAGACGCAGCCCTGAGCCGTTCATTGCGAGCCACCCGCTGACTCCGTGCGCTGCCCTGCTTTGCTCGGGCCATGACCTGGTCTGTTGCCAGGCTCCACCCATGCTCGGCCACCAAGCTGCCCCTGTCCACGTCACCTCAGCCTTCCCACCACTGCCTCAGCCTCGGTCAGCGAGCTGCCCCTCGGCGAGCTGCTAGGGTTGAGCCCTGGCCAGCCTCTCTTTCCCGGTTCAGAGCGGCCCAGACGCCCCCACCCCCGGGAGCTGTCCCTCTGATAGCTCGTCATCCCGCCCTTGGGGGATGGACGGAGGCTGGGCCTTGTTTTCCTAAGACGACGTGTGCCCTCCCTGTCCAGCGGGCAGCCTGTTCTTGCCTGGCTTTGGGAAGGCTGCAGTCCCCAGGTCGGCCCTCGGGCCCTAGGTCCTGTGACAGATGACTTTGCCCGCCTCGGAATGCGGGTTCCATGTTCAGCTGTACCCTGCCTCGCCTGCACCTCCCGGCCCCCCCTTAGCACTCAGACCCCCAGCTCCCTCCAGAAGCTTCTGCCGGCACCACCGAGGGCTTGGCTGGGACCTCCTCTGCTTGTTGGCCTGCGTGGCCACGGGGCCACTCCAGGCGCCTGGCCTTGGGAAGGGCCCATGGGAGTTCTGCACCCCCGCCAAGTCCCGGGCCCTGCCCCCCACGGTTGCCCAGCCGTCTCTAAGCTGGCGAGGCCTCCGTGCCCTCTGCTGGCTCCAGGCCTGAGGCACCAATTTTAGTTTCCCGTGACTGAGAGGTTGTAAATTGGACTAATTTTGGATGCGATAAGAAACCAAAATGAGGTCAGTGAGGAGGAGGTGGCTGTGGCAAGCCATCCTCCCTTGGCCGCAGCCCCACTGCCGGGGAGCTGTGGGCTCAGCTGCCAGCCCAGGCTGCCCGCAGAAGACCCCAGCAAAGGCACCTTCTGCTTCCTCTTTCCTCTCTCACATTCTCTCTCTATGCTCTGTCTCTCTCTCTCTCTCTCTCTCTCTCACGTTCTCTCCCTCTCTCTGTCTCTCTGTCCCTCTCTCTGTCTCTCTGTCCCTCTCTCTGTCTCTGCCTCCCCTCATCCCACAGGGGCAGCCTAACTGTTGTCTTTTGGTTCCCGGGTAGATGTAGGGGTGACAGGCAGTGTCCGGTTGCAGTGGTGAATGTGGCTCCCAAGGGCCCTGGGCCTCCTCCTGCCCTCCTAGGGGACACGGCTGCCCCATGGCCCCAGTCTGAGGTGACCAGGGAGGGCCACAGGGGACGCGTGGGCTCTGCCAGCCAGGCCAGCTCTCATACTGCTCAGCCCTGAAAGGGCACACCAATACCAGGGGCTGTGTTCCGGGAGCACTTGTTTATAGACCGGCCGGGCACCTGGGCCACTGTGCCAACCCTGCCCTGGGCCGCTGGATTGGTAGGGGGACCTCTGAGGCCCAGCAAAGGGGAAAGGCTTCTCCAGCCCACAGTTAGCAAGAGAGATCGGCTTTGAACTTCTGACCCTCATGCCTCCCACGGGCCGAGCCCTGTGTCCTACCCCGCCTCGCCCCGTCTCGCCCTGCGCCCCAGTGTTTCACAGAGCTGCTGGCAGTCATGCCATGGGAGCTTCTTGGAGCTGCATGAAGACAGAGTGATCACCCACTCTCCCTCAGAATGGGGCCAAGGGAGTCTGAGGCCCCTGTGTGCCCTGTCCTTGGTCATTTCATGGGCAGGGTGTCCCCTGAGGAACCAGGGAGGAAGCTGCGGCCCCGAAGCAAGACCCAGGGAGAAGGGTGGAGCTGCGCTCAGGCACCCCCAGCAGGGGCAGAGGTCTGAGGGCCCCAGGCCCCTTCCCCTCCTCCCCTGGGGACAAAGCATGAGAAGCTCTGAGGCATTACCAGGCCAGCTCTGCACTGCCCTGGATTTCCTCCTCCTCCTCCAAAGGACAGTGGGACTCAGAACCCAGAGCTAGACTTTCCTGATGACTCCCGAGAAACCACCCCATCCCGTCCCAATGGGAGGCAGCCAGGGCCCAGGGAACCTGCCTTCACCACGCAGCCGAGCAGAGAGTGGGTCCAGGCAGGCAGGCCGGCGGGAGGTCAGGGCTGCGGGGGGCTTGGGGGGGCTCAGGGTCAGTGGCGGTGATGGCAGCAGTGGCTCCCACGGAGCCTGGCGTGGCCTGGCCGAGCGCGCCCTGCACTGGGGCCTCCTGGCCCTGGGCTTCTCTCTCCTCCGCTGTGATCCCTTCAACTGCTTCTCCTTTCTCTCCTCTCCTCTCCTCTGCCTGCCCCAAGTTTCGAGGACTCCACCCTGTCCACGGCCACTACCCTTGAGTCTATCCCCAGCTCCACGGGAGAGCCGAGGTGCCAGCGACCCCGCACCCTGACGCGGCAGCAGAGCCTGCAGCAGCCCCTGAGCCAGCAGCAGCGGGGCCGGCAGCCCAGCCAGCCCACCACCAGCCAGAGCCTGGGCCAGCTGCAGGCCCACGCGGCCGCAGCGCCTGGCACCAACCCCCGCGCCCACAGCCGAGGCCCAGCCCGGCAGGCCACCTCGGCCAGCTCCAAGTACCGGGCGGCCGGGGGCCGCAGCCGCTCCAACCCGGGCAGCTGGGACCACATGGTGGGGCAGATTCGAAACCGAGGCTTGGACGTGAAATCCTTCCTGTAAGTCCTCCCCAGGTGGCTGGCCCACCTCCCCCTCCCTCCCCGACTCCTGGGGCAGCTGCTCCCGTGCCCCACAGGGTCCTCACAGCCCGGCAGGGTGCCACGCAGGCCCAGGCCTGGGCACCGTGTGGAAGGGGCCGTGGGGCTCAGAGAAGCCCCCTGGACAGGGCTGCAGTGGCCCTGGGATCTGTCCCTGCTCAAGGCCCTGCCCGCCTCCCTCCCTCCAGTACCTGCTCTCACGCCTCCACACCACTCCTCCTGCCTGCCTCCTTCCTGTCCCCCGCCCCCGGCCTTCTGGAGCCACCTGTGTCCACTCCTTCCTCCCTGTGACGACTGGTCCCCAAGGATAGGCCCGAGCTGCACCCAAAGCTCCTGGGGCTGTCGCTTCTGAATCAGCGGCTTCCAAGTGTTCAGGTCCCAGGAGTGACACTGCCACCCCTGCGCCCCCAGCTCTGCCCAGGGAGCCCCAGCACCTTTTGGGGCATCAGCACTTGCTCTCGGAGCCCAAACAGGCGTGGGCTGCGGCCCCTGGATCACCCACCCCTCCAGCCTAACTCGAGCTTCTTTCCAGGCTCGGGTTCTTCCAGCACCCGGGCCTTCCTGGGCACTCAGAAGACTGGCGAGGGGAGAAGGGGCAGAAGGGACACCAAGACCCGGCCTGGCTCACAGGCCAAATGCAGGCCTAAGGAGGCCAGCTGGTGCCTCGGAGCACCTGCGAGTCCGGCTGAGGGTCCGGCCAGAGGTTTTGGGAAAGATGATGTGGTGCCAGGAATGGTCCCCAGGCCTGCTGCCCACACGGGAGGCCCAGGAGCACATGCAGCTGGGGCCCTCTGAGAGGGGACTGCCTCTCCAGAGACCCTCCACGCCCCACCCCAAGCCTGCTGCCGACAGGACACCCAGCAAAGCACCCACCGTGCAGCGGCAGAGGCTCGGGAGAGACGCCTGTGCTGGTGGGGATCCAGAGGGAATTGTGCTACCTTGGCATGAACATAGCCGCAGGCCCACCGGCACCACCCTGCGCCAGGCTGCTCTGGCCTGGCCATCCTGTCCTTGCAGCTGTTCGTCAGGCCATCTCCAGCTTCGGGAGCCCTGGGTACCAGCTCTTCCCTGCCCACCACCCTACAGGTGGACCAGCATCTGATGGCGTCGCGAGGGGCGGCATCCGTAGCTGGTCTCTGGCCTGCTGGCCCCGAACTCACTTAGGGCTCAGCCCTCCACCTTCGAAGGCCGATGGCAAACACTGCAGGCCTTGCAGGGCACATGTGGTGTTTGTCACATGATTTTTTTATCTTAACCCTTTAAAAATGCAAAGCTCATCCTTACGCGTGCTCTGCAGAGAAACGGACCGTGACCCGGAGTTTGCCACCCACTGCCGCACCAGCCGATCCGCTCCCCACGCTCCTCTGGAGGGCACGTCCGGCAGGACCCCACTCTGCTCAGAGGGCTCGGAGCCCTTGCACGGCTGGCTTCTGCACACCTGGGGCCTGCAGGGCTGCAGAGAATGACAAATAGGAGCCTGTTGGTTTTTAAGAAGAGCTAAAGAAGTGTCTGAAAAGTTCATCAACCAATGAAAAACACATCATTTTCCTCAGGCTGCCTTCCCCCAGGCAGCGAAGTAGAATTTCCCCGTCTCGGAGGCGCCATGGGCAGGAGCAGCAGAGACCAGGGTGCGGTGCATCCTGAGGAAGGGGCAGACTTTTCCCCCGAAGCTGGACCCCAGTGTGAGTGTCGGCCAGGAGCGGCTGTCCCCTGCAGAGGCAGAGACCGAGAAGGACGCTGTGGCCACCTCCTCCCCTGGCTCCGACCCCGCTGGCATCTCCCACTTTCCAAGCCCTGAGTCTGAGGTCCCTGTGACAGCTCCCTGGGGAATGGTCACACCAGCTGACTACCTGGGGACCTTGCCCCAGCCTCTAGGCCTTGCCCTGGGCCCTCCTCCGAGAATCCTCAACCTGGCCTGAGCCCCAAGAAGCACCCAGAAACGCTCCTGGGAAGAGCGCTGAGCCCAGCAGTCCTGGGAGACCTGCCTTGATTCCAGCGCCACGCGGCGGCCTTGCCCCGCTGGCCTGCCCTGCTCGGTGCCCCAGGAGACTTCTGGCCCTCCGGGGCCTGCACTTCACCCGAAGCTGTCCTCCTTGCCCTCAGCTGCGTCTCTGACCAGAGGCCCCGAATAGACCTGGAGGCCGCAGTCACCCCTGGGTGTGTACAAGGGGAGGACAGGCCGGCTGCCATGCTGACGCCTGTGCAGGAAGGGACGTGCACTCCCCCCGGGACCGCAAGAGCAAGCCCCAGAGCCCTCTGCCCTCTAGGACGCCTGGCTGACACGGCCCAGAGGCGCCGCTGGGGCGGGAGCTCACATCTTCCTGGGGCCCAGCTGTGTGCCCCTCCCGCTGGCACCCGGCTCCGCTCTTGGCCAGGGCGGCTGGGACTGTCTCAGGCGCAGGCATCTCCCTCCGTCCCCCCCTCCGTCCCTCCCTCCGTCCCTCCCGCTCCTGCCTGACTCTGTTCTGCAACAGTCCCACTGCTGAAGTTTGGTTTCTCTCCTGCAGGGCCAGTTTCTTACGCTCTTTTCTTCTCTCTCTTTGTCTCTGTCTCTGTCCCCTCCCCGCCCTGCCCTGGGGCCTTCCCCTTGCACCGCAATGCTGGGCCACCCTGGCAGGGAAGGCCGAATGGTGGTGCTATCCTTGGTCTTAGGGCTTTCGGAACAGGATGACTTTGCCAATATCCCTGACCTGCAGAACCCAGGAACCCAGCAGAACCAGAACGCTCAGGGGGACAAGAGGTACGAGCTCAGGCGAGGCCAGCACGGCGGAAGCACCGGAGGAGGAGGAGTGGAGAGGAGAGGCAGCTGCTCCACCACGCAGCTGGGCCAGACCGTCCTGCCTTCCACAGTGCTGGAGCAGGAGGACCGGCCCCACGGCCGCCGGCCCCAGGGCATCCACCTGGGACCATTCTGGATCAGGCCTGCTCCCGCACACTTGCCCCGGCCCGGAGCAAGCCCTGCGCCATCTCCTGCTTGGCTTCTCTCTGCTGTCCATGTCATCGCTGTCCACCAGCTGGAAATCCCTGTTTCTCTGGGGGTTGGTGGCTGGGGGATGTCAGGGAGGGGCGCTGGCCTGTGCTCCCTCATCCCCGCCGCCTCAACCTCCCTGGGGCCCAGCGCGAGGCAGAGGGTCCCGGAGGGGAGCACCTGGAGAGGCCTAGGGACCCACGCAGTGAGGCGCAGAGCTGCCCGTGGGGCCCGGTGGAGGGCACCGGGAGCGAGCAGCCATCTAGCCCGGCCCGGCTCCGCCCCGCCTGCGGCGCCGGGGAAGGGAGGAGAGCCCACCGCGCGCTCGCTCGGCGGCCCTCAGCGGCCCGGCCCTCCGCAGCCCTGCGCTGGCCGCAGCACCGCTCTCGCCTTGGCCCCTGCGGCTGTCGGCCGAGCGGCCCGTGAGTGAGCTCTGGAAGCAGCCCCTCCAGAAAGGCCCTGCAGGGGACGGGGCCTGCTTGGCCGGGTAGCCCTGGCGCTCCTTCACAGCCTGAGGGGCAGGGGCTGGCAGTTAGGGCGGATGGACAGGCTGAGACCTCCGGCCTGCACTGCAAGCATGGGGCCGAGCTCCCCCGGGAGGGTGGACAGGGGCCGGCCCTTTGGCCCAATGACAAGGGGTCTCCAGGCTCTGAGCTGGGGCCTGAGGTGTGGCTGGGTCTGAGCTGGGTCCCGGGGAGGGTGGGTGCAGCCGGGCCCTGAAGGTGTGGAGTGTGAGGGAGCAGATGCTGGAAACAGATTTCTCTCCACCCTGTGCTGCCCCTGCTGCATCTCATCATTCTTCCCTACCTCCTTGCCACAAGGTCCTGTCCATACTTCGCCACCTCATGCATCTGGTCATCACCTCCACGCGCTGCCCCCTGCCCTCCTGGGAAGCCCTGCCCAGCCGCCTAGCCCGACTCCAGGGGACCCTGTGTCCCTGCCACCCAGAGCCCCAGTGTGCCCTGGCTTCCCCTGAGTGGGCGAACCCCATGCTGAAGCTGGGCATAGACACTGCAGGCCCCAGGCTGCCCACCTTGCAGCGGTGGGCTGGGCCATCTGAGGGGCACAGAGCTAGCATGGGCTGCCACCCCGACACCAGGCAAGGCGAGGCCTGTCCAGCAGGCCAGGGCAGGTCCTTGGTGGCCCTGGACGGCCGTATAGAACCTCAGTGCCCTTGGCCACAGTCCCCTTGCCCTGCCAGCCAGCCCGGGTTCCGGGCTGCTGGGCACATCTGGGACCCTGGCCCGGACCTCAGTGTAGAGCCAGAGTCCCGGCCCCGCCCAGCGCCCTGCCTGTCCTGCTCACCTCATGTACTCAGCCATCCTCCTCCATCACCCTTGGATCCGAATGGTTTCCCCCGTGGCCACCCACCCGGGGGCCAGGCCACCTGCTCCCTCCGCCCGTGTGTCCCCGGCTCTGCCTCCTGTGGCCGCCTGGCTCCTCGTCTCTGTCCGCCCACAGCTTCCTCCGCCCAACTCTGACTAACCTTTCTCGGGCTCTCTCTCCCTCCCTCTCTGCATCTGCGCCTCGCAGGGTGTCCCTGGGCCAGTGACAGCCCCAGCGCCCTCTGCCTCTCCCGAGCCTCGGTCTCTGTTTTCCCCAGGCCGCTGCAGCTGTACAGGCGCTGCGGTTTGGCCCGGATAACCCCGACTTGCACTAACCTGACTTTGCCTCCCCAGCTCTCTCCGTCTGCTCTCCCCCGTGCCCGTCTGCGAGCACGTGTCCGAGAGTGTGTTGTCCCGGTGTGTCGGGCCGGGCCAGGTGCCCACAGCAGGCGTGCCGTGTGCCATCACCAGCGTGTGTCTCTGAGTCTGCTGTCTGCTTTCCCTTCTAATCGTCCCAGTCCACCCCACACACCTGGTGTGCCGGGCGTGCCGTCATCACGCCTGCTGTGTCCTGCCGTGGCCTGCGCATTCCCTCTGCATTCCTCTGGGTGTCTTGGACTGTGTGCACTGTGTGTGTGTCTGCCTGCGTGTGCACGCCCACTTCCGAGGCCCGGCATCTGTGCATGTCATCCGGTGGCCGGGCCCATGTCCAGCTGTATGGCTCCGAGGGTGGCCCTGCTGCCCAGTGCCCCCTCACAGGCATCCCAGCCTGGTGCTGGGCGGGCTTTCGTGCCTTTCCTAAGCCCAGTGGGGCAGAGATTCCAGCTGCTGGGAACCACCTGGGGCAGGGGCAGACGGGCTGCTGGGGGTCTCGTCTCAGCCGGTTCAGGGCTCATCTCGTGTGGAGGCCCCCAGGAGAGCTGGGTGCTGGCTTGCTGCATCTGAGAGGTGGCCACTACGCCTACCTTACCTTGCATTACACGAAGCCAGCCAGGTGCAGTGGTGCACACCTGTAACCAGGTACTTGGAGGCTAAGGCAGCGAGATCACAGGTGCCAGGCCAGCCTGGGGAGTTTAAAGAGACCCTGTGGAAAAAGAGAGGAAATGACCAGGGGAGTGTGGCTCGGTGGGGGGTGGCCTTGGGTCCAATCCCCAGCAGCACGGGGACAAATAAGCTCCTTCCTTCGTCACATTGGCCACTCAGTGCTGGGCGTGGTCGCTGGCTGGCGCAGAGGATGACCTGCCGTGGGGTCCTGCGGGCAGCACAGTGCGCAGCACGGTCCTGGCCCCCTGCTCTGGAGGGTGGGAGGCCCGTGGGACTCCAGAAGGCAGAGCATGAGAGGACACGGGACCTTCCAAGACCAGCCAACCTGCGGGTCTTGGGGAGCTGGGGCCCTGGGCAGGACGCACAGAGGTGCTGCAGCAGCCGCCTGGGCAGGTGGCCTCGGAAACCAGGCTTGCGCAGAGTGCCTGCAGCCCCACACCCGGCCCCCTGCTCATCGCCCCTCTCCCCAGGTTGCCCGCAGGAGGGAAAGCGGTCGACACAGCGCTGGTGCCAGGCCAGACGCCCCACGATGAGTCTGACCGCAGGACCGAGCCCCGATCCTCTGTCTCGGACCTCGCCAACTCCCTCACCAGCGAGATGCTCATGGTGAGCAGGCGGGTGGGCGGGCAGCCCCAAGTGGCCCATGCAGGTGGAGCCAGGCGTGGCATGGGAACCTCTAGGTGCTCGCTGACTGAGTGAGCAGGGCCAGGCTTCTCCTCCCAGCCGTTTTGCCAGGGAGGCTTCCCTGTGCCTCAGTCTCCCCACTTGGAGAGTGAGAGTAAGAACGTCGACTTCCTCCGGCCTCGTTCTGAGTTAAGGGCTGAGAACACAGGACAGTGCTGGGACCTAGAAGGAAAGGCTGGTGGACAGGGCCTGGGCAGTGGGTGGCTGGAGCTCCTGGCCCTGACGATCTCTCCTCCCCACGGTCGTGACCATGTGGCTCCCGTGGCTCGGGGTGCAGAGAGAGCAGGAGCCTGCAGCTGGGGTTCCTCCACAGTGAGCTCCTGGCCCTGCCTGCCACCTGATCCCAGCTCCAGGTGCACCCGGGGCCACGGTGCAACACAGCCCCTCGCCAGGGTTCCGCTCTCCAGGGGTGGGGGTGAGCCCAGCAGGAGACACGGCAGGAACTAGGGGTCTGGGCAACTGGGGCTCTGGGAATGCTCGGGAGGCCGAGGGTGGGCACCGTGCCCGCTGCATCCCCTGAGGACGACCTAGGTGGTGTCGCTTCCTCTGTGCAGACAGGAAAGCGATTTAGGGACCCCAGCTTGCTCCAGTTCCCAAGCCCAGGCCACCATCCTGAGCTCCCCGAGCCTCCAGGGTCCCCACCAGCCTAAGCCTGCGACTCTCGTGCACAGCCGGGTCCAGGGCAGCGGGTTGAGAGGTAGAATCCACATCGCTCCTGAGCTCGGTTACAGCATCCGAACTTCTGGAGGGCCCCCTCCCCACACTGTGTGTCCCTCCCCACCCTCTCCCAGGCCCCACTGCCTGGAACCAGTTGTTCTGATGTCCAGATGTCCAACTCCCTTCCATCCCCGCCAGGCCCAGAGGCCAGAAGGCTGAGTGGGACAGGCCGGCCCCGGGCGTCCTTCACTGTGACAATGGAGATGCAGGCTGAGGAAGCCCCAGAGCCCCTGTGTTGCTCTCCAGGCCCGGGTTGTAGAAGCTGGGGGTCAGAAGACAGAAGTTGGGCCCCCTGAGCCCCCAGAGCACAGCCAGAGGGGAGGAGGCCTCTCGCCCTGGCACAGGGGCTGGCTTGATGCTTTTTATTCTTTTTAAACCCAGCCTGGCTAGGTTACCCAGGCTAATCTTGAACTCCTGGGCTCAAATAATCCGCCTTGTGTGTTGGAATTATGGGCGGGTTGTGTCGAGCCCAGCTTGGCCTGATGCTTTTGGCAGCTTCAGTCCCTGGAGTGCAGCCGGGATAGGGGTGGCCAGCCTGGTTCCCATGGAGATGGCAGGGTCCCTGGGCCCAGGAAGGCTGGGCACAGATGCGTCACCCTTTTCCAAGCCCACTTGCCTAGCCCAGGTCTCCCCACATCACCCCGTTTAGGAGCCAAATAAACAGGGACCGCAGGTGGGGTGCATGCCTCAGGTCCCCTCCAACTGCACCTCAGTTTTAGACTGAACGGGCTGAGTGGCCTTTGCTGGCCCTGAGTCAGGTTGCAGGGCCGGGCCCGGGCAGGGGCCCCCAGAGCCTCATCCCTCAGGGGTAGAAGTAGGTCCGGGGGAGCAGGGGAAGTTCAGTCTGCCCAGGCCTGGGTGGAGCTGTGGGTTGTCAGGTGGGGCCAGAGTCCCTTCCTGGGGTGAGGAGGTGCAGGCACTCAGCACTAGGAGGGCTGCTGGGCTCCACCCAGGTTCCAGTCCTGACGCGGCCCCAGGCCCTGCAGGGTTCAGACTGGAGCCTGGGCCCTGGAGCACGGCCCAGTGGGGTGGGGTAGGCGTGAAGGTCGCAGCCCCTGGTGGGCAGGGGCTGGCATCACCTGGTATGCTGAGCCCTTGCCGGCTGTCACCTGGGTGTGCCCTGCAGCCCTGGACTGCTGACTGACCTCTCAGAGCAGCCTCCTCGGCCAGAGCTCGGCAACAGCCTCTGGCCAGTGGAGAGGTGAGGAAAGTCTTCAGCACCTGTGTTCTTGTCGCCTGGTTATCCGGCGTCCTTGAGCCTGGGCTGCCCCTGCAGGATGGAGGGGAGAGACGTGCCCGGGCTCTGTCCTCACTGGGTCTGCGGCCCCTTCCTGGCTGGGCAGGAATACTCGGGTGGCAGAAGTGGCAGGGTGGAAGCTGCACACACGCACGTGTGCACACACTCACCCCTCCTGTGCTCCAATGGGTGCCATGCAGCACCAGGTGCCTGCAGATGGTTCTGCCCAGGCGGCTGCCCCGCCTGATGCTCAGACTCCCAGGGGCGAGGTGGGGGACCCCAGCACTCACCCTCCTCGTTGTGTGAACTGCGTCCCCTGAGAGCCCAGGGTCCCTTCCTCAGGGACAGCTGGTGGACACTTGCCCAGCGGGAGCCGCCCCATCTGTGCTGGTTATGTCCACTGTGGCCCCACGGGCAGGGGAGGGTGGAAAAAGCAGGGGGCTAGGACCCCACACATGCTGGGGGGTCCACAGTGACAGGCTCCCTCCCTCCATCCCTGTCCGATTCCACGTGGCCCTGTGCTGTGCATCCTCGCGTCCTCTGCCACCATGGACACGACTGGCCACCACCCGCCAGGTGTGAGTGGAGAGGGGCGGGTCCTCTCTGCTGGCCACTGGGGGCCCGGGAGGCGAAGCCCACACAGCCCCTTCCCTTTCCAGCTGTCCCCAGGCTCTGAGGAGGATGAGGCCCACGAGGGCTGCAGCCGCGAGAACCTGGGCCGGATCCAGTTCAGCGTGGGCTACAACTTCCAGGAGTCCACGCTCACGGTGAAGATCCTGAAGGCCCAGGAGCTGCCGGCCAAGGACTTCAGCGGCACCAGCGACCCCTTCGTGAAGATCTACCTGCTGCCCGACAAGAAGCACAAGCTGGAGACCAAGGTGAAGCGGAAGAACCTCAACCCCCACTGGAACGAGACCTTCCTCTTCGAAGGTGAGGTGCCGCCGGCTCTCCATGTGCATGCACACAGCCATGGGCATGCAGGCAAGGCTGAGGCAGGAGGATCGCAAGTTCCAGCCCAGCCTGGGAAATTCAGCCACCTATCGAGACCCTGCCTCCAAATTAAGAAAGACAGAGCAGGCTACAGATGTGGCTCAACCTGAAGTCCTGGGTTCAATCCGCAGCACCTCAGCAAACAAACACAAAATGCGGACTTGCACACACCCTGTCTCTGCGCTGCCCTGGCGCCTCCGAGGCCCCTGAGGCAGGAGGCCTGCCACTGTTCTGGGTCCGAGGCCTCGGTGACCAGAGCAGATCCCAGGAGCCCTTTCCCAGCAGCCTGGCCCACTGTGGCCCGCGGTGCCCGGGGAGGGATGCCTGACTGTCGGAGGTGGATGTAGCAGCTAGCAGACCCCTATCTGCCGGGTGTGACCTGCAGGCCAGGGACTGGGCTCAGGAGAGGAGGGGTCTGCGGCAGCCTCCGCGGGGTCTCCGGTCGGGTGAGGACATAGACGCACTGAAAACAGAGCCATGCACCAGACGGTGCTGCAGGGAGCCAGTGTGAGCTTCCCTTTGTGTTGCTGAAGGAAATTTCCCTGAGGAGAAGCCATTCCAGATGGGTTCTGAAGGACGAGTAGGAGTTGTGAGACTCCCTGCTCTGGTGTGGAACAGCGCTGATTCGGGTGTGGGGATCTTGGAGCTCCGCGCTTCCTGGAACGCTAGGCCACCTACATTTCACCTGGACAGGTGCCGAAGGTCACCTGGGGTGGGTCCCTCGGTGTTAGAGGGAAAGTGACCCTGAGGATTCCAGAGGATTCCCCTTCCTCTCACCCCTCCTGTCCGTGGCTTCTCTGCTCCCAGCGTCTCTGGGTGAAGGTTCCAGGCTCCCTGGCATGCGTCTCCCTTACCTACACTCCATCCTGCTCACCCCAGGCTGGGCTGTGTCTCCCTCCCCACCCTGGCCAGGGTGGGCAGGCAGCGGTCCAGGAGAGAGAGGGATAGACCTGTCAGGACCAGCGACCCAGGTTGCACACAGACAGGGGCAGGAAGACACTGGGCCCGCTGTGCAGGGACGGGGCCCAGCTGGGCACAGCCCACACGGCCCTTATTCCCGCTGCCCTGAGCCACTGCAGGGGCCGCTTGGCCTGGCTGCTTGCAAAACACTCTGGCAGCTGTGCAGAGCCCAGGCCTAGGGGCAGGAGGAAGTGCGGGGGTTGGGGACCTGTAGCATTCTCGGTGGCCTGGACAGGGCAGACAGTGGGGACAGAGAGGCTGACACCAGGAAGGCCATGTCCAGCCCTCTCCCTGCCTTAGCCGGGTCCCCTTTGCCCTCTGCCCTGTCCCTGTGGCCCGTCTGTCCCCGACCTTGCCTGCTGGCTGCAAGCCCCTGGCCAGTCCTGTCTTGGGATGTGGAGCCACCGCAGTGGACGGTGTAAGTGTGTGTGGGGCTGGTTCTGCTCACTCGCAGCCACAGGCCTTGGTTTCCTGTCCTGGAGTGGACCCCACTCTCGACAGTGCAGAGCGGCCCTCTGAGAGCCGACTGCTGGCCCTGGCCCCTCACTTCCTTCTCTGCCCCCAGGTTTCCCCTACGAGAAGGTGGTGCAGAGGGTCCTCTACCTCCAGGTCCTGGACTACGACCGCTTCAGCCGCAATGACCCCATCGGGGAGGTGTCCATCCCCCTCAATAAGGTGGACCTGACGCAGATGCAGACCTTCTGGAAGGACCTGAAGCCATGCAGCGATGGGAGTGTAAGGCTGGGCTCTCTGGGCCCGGGGTGGGGCACAGGCCAGAGGGCAGCTCTGTGGTAGCAAGGACAGACACGGGACGCACCCAGGGCAAGGCCGTCCTTCCCTGTGCCCCGTGACCATGCTGTTGTCCCCAGGGGAGCCGAGGGGAGCTGCTCCTGTCTCTCTGCTACAACCCCTCCGCCAACTCCATCATCGTGAACATCATCAAAGCCCGGAACCTCAAAGCCATGGATATCGGGGGCACCTCAGGTGCGGGCCGGGACGTCCAGGGGCGCGGGGGCATGGGCTGTCGGAAGGGAGCGCTTTGTGTTGGGGAGGGCTGGCTTTGAGCCCCAGCTCTGACACCCCCTCTCTGCGGCCTTGGCCAGACCGCCACCCTGGCCTCGGTTTCCCCACGAGTGCTGGCTCTGCCTCCTGGCCTCTCTGGGCCCTGCTGTCCTGCTCGGGTCTCTCCCACCCCACCCCAGCTCGCCTCGGAAGGGGACCCAGGTCACCCTGACCCCTGCTGCTCCCCAGACCCCTATGTGAAGGTGTGGCTGATGTACAAGGACAAGCGGGTGGAGAAGAAGAAAACGGTGACCATGAAGAGGAACCTGAACCCCATCTTCAACGAGTCCTTCGCCTTCGACATCCCCACGGAGAAGCTGCGGGAGACGACCATCATCATCACTGTCATGGACAAGGACAGGCTGAGCCGCAACGACGTCATAGGCAAGGTGGGCGCAGCCCGGCCTCCTGGGCTTCCCTGCTGCATCCCAGGGACCTCCTGGGGGCCGCGGTTCTGCAGGTCAGGGTGGTGCCCGTGTCTCCTGCACGTGGTGCTTCGATGCAAGCCCTCTGCCTCCCTGCTTCGGAACTCTGTCCCTCACTGTTTGTGGCTCTGAGTCTCCCGTGGCCCAGAGGTCACTGCCCCCAGGGCCTCTTCTTTTGGGGTGGTACTGGGGCTTGAACCCAGGGCCTTTGCACTGAGTTGCATGCCCAGCTCTTTTTATGTTTTACTTTGAGACAGGGTCTCACTTAGTCTCTAAGTTGAGATTCTCCTGCCTCAGCCTCCTAGGGGGTTCTAGCTGCTTTTGAAACAGGCCAGCTGTGTGGCCCCAGGGTGAAGGTGGCTTGTGTAGGTCAGGAGCCCCCCATGCAGCTGCAGCTCAGCCCCTGGAAGGCAGCTGCCTGCCCCTCCAATCTGCCTGGCATCCTGCGGCCCTGGGGTTTCAGCCGCCCGCGTCAGAGGCACAGCACCTGTGGGGGCACGGCCTTGGGCCCAGGGCACCCTGTGGCCCCGCCACCCCAGCTTTGTCCTGTCCTCTCCACACGGGGCAGAGCCGGGCTGGCTCCCAAGCTCCTTTTCATCTCCGCTGACTCTCTCAGATTCTTTTCACATCCAAGAGGCAGCGCCACAGAGCCCCTTGCTCAGTTTCCCCAAACCCCAGCCTGCTTGGGTGACCATGGCGCCTCTGCTCAGCGAGCAGCACGCTACAGACGCTGTGTCTCACCCGCGCGCCTGTCCCGGGGAGCCCCGGCACAGAGCAGTCACCTGGCCCGGGACAGTGTCTATCCTCCTTGGACCTGGCTGCCACAGGCTATGGGCAGGGCCCACACCGCTCCGGGGCCCCCTGGCCTGGCTAACGTGCTGCTCCCCTCTCTCTGCAGATCTACCTGTCCTGGAAGAGCGGGCCGGGCGAGGTGAGGCACTGGAAGGACATGATCGCCCGTCCCCGCCAGCCTGTGGCCCAGTGGCACCAGCTGAAGGCCTGAGCGCCAGGGGACGCCCAGGGGGTCCCCGACGTGCAGGGCCGTCCAGGACTGCAGCCCCACCCAGCACCCCGCGGGGACTCCGGAGCCATCTCCCTGCTTCACCGCCCTTCCCTTCGGACTCGCCAAGGCCGAGCAGCAGGGACCTCGTGAGCAGGCGGGCACACCCTCCAGAGGCCGCCAGGTGGGCATGGCCCCCGTTTTCTTTACGGCAGTGCCTGGAGTGGAGAGAAGCCAGCCCCGTCCCGGGGGTGCCGAGGCGTTTGGCCCTGGCTGGCAAGACAGGCCCGTCTGCAGGTGGCTTCAGGTGCCGCCTGGGCCCTGAATGCCAAGAACAGTGCACAGCCTGCTCTGTTTGTGTTGTGTGGCTGCGTGTGTGTGAGGGACGCTGGCTCCGGCCCAGGGCCAGCAGTGCTGAAGACGCAGAGAAGCAGGCTTGCGGGGGCGAGGCGGGCGTGGCCAGCCCACCCTCTGCTCGGGTCCTGGCAGCTCCCTCCTGGCAACTTCACCTCTCGGACATCGGTTCACAACTTTAGGCACCTACTGTGTGCACAGCATTCCACCAGGCCCCCAGCTCCCTTCCGTCTCAGGGGTCCCAGCCCCGCTGTCCCCCAACACCCCCAGAGACCCCACCTTCTCGGATCCCTGCCCTCGCCTTCCTTCCCTCCGGGTGTGGTTTCCCACTGTGCAGCCGCCCTGCTGGTCCCTGGAGCGGCCCTTGCGCCCTCCCGCCCGCCTGGACTCTAAGGCCAGGGTGACTGGTGTCCCCGCGACAGCAGATGTCAGGGCCACCGCTTGCGCCCTGGCCCCGGAGCTGGTCCTGCTATGGCCAGCGCCTCCCCACATTCCCAGATGCACCGCCAGGTGGCGCCGGGACGCCACGGGCTTAGGACCCGGGCAGGGAAGGCGGCGCGGAGCGGAGCGGAGCGTGGCCCTCGCAGCGCAGGCCGGCCGGTGCGACCACACCCATCACGGTTTGTGCACATACGCAGGAGCCGGCCCTGTCGCCGCCCCTTCCTCCCTGGGATCTGAGGGAGATCGCTCCTGTGGGCGAGTCGCTCCGCTCCGGTCCGCAGAGAAGACGCCGGGCGAGTGAAGCAGTAGTCACCGCATTCCCTGTAAACCCAGAGTCTCCACAGCGCAGCTTTGCTTTGAGTGGGCCTGGCCAGCTCCCCGGGCTTGGATGGGGCAGCAGGGGCCAGAGGGCAGGGGCAGCGTGTCCCTCCCTCCCTGGAGGCGCCTTCGGGAGCAGCCAGCAGGGGCTCCCCGGTTCCATGGGACACCCCCCCCCAGGCCGCTGGGACAGCCTGGCCCCCCACCCACCCAGACATGGGCCGGGGCTGCATGGGGAGGGCTGACGGTGGGTGGGGCTGGCAGGAGGGGCGGCATCATGGGCGCAGCGGTGGGGAATGGGGGCGCCGGGCCCAGACCTTGGACAAGCCCCCACCCTCCCGAGACTCAGTTTCCCCGTCCACAAAATGATGGTAATAATCCTTCACCTACCTCATGGGGAGGTTGTGAGGTCACCATCGCCTGACCTGGGGGCCTAGCGAGGCAGAGGACCCTGAAGGTGCTACCGGGAGCAGAGTATCATTACCGCAGCCTGAGAGCTCGGCCGCCCGCCGGCCCCTGCTGCAGGGGCACGAGGGCAGGGTCCTGTCTTTTCACTGTGTCCGGGCCCTGTCTCAGTGTCATCTGCCTCGTCCTGGGCACCCTAGACTTAGTCGTGACCTGGTTCAGCTCTCCTTCCTGTGAACATCTCCCCAGTAACTGCTGTGCAAACCCCAGCCACCCAGGGCCCCCACACCCACCCTCCGGCCCCAGAGGCCAGGGAGGGACAAGGAAAAAGCCACACAAAAGCCCAGGGACGCCCAGCCCTGGGTGGGGACTGGTGGCTGCTGTTTTTGTCGTGTTTGAGTCTTTGAGTGCAAGTGTTTTATAAAAAATAAGACAAAAATCCACTTTCACAAAAAAAGAAAGAATTTTTGCAATGAAGAGAAATGAAAAAAAGCTGAAGAAAAAAGAACCATACAAGTTTTCCACCACACACCCTGTAAGCCAGCAGAATTTCCTCTTTGCAAAACCCTATTTTTGTGGGAATGGGCCCTGCTGTTTGGGGCGAGGCCTGTTCTGATCAATAAAGGACCATGAAAAGTAGGGCATTGGCTGTTTCCTCCGACTGGGCCCTGACACCCTGGGGAGCAGCAGCTGGGGGAGCCGGTGGGACCAGGCCGGGCTCCGTACAAGACCGGCCCGGCTGGGCCCCTTCGCCCTTCCCCAGAACACAGAGCAGGCCTGGAGCAGGGCCCCACAGGGCTGGACCCCGTCCCCACCTGCCGAGCCCTGTCCAGGTCTCCGAGAGGAACAGGAAGAGGAGCCCAGCTCTGGCTGGCAGCACTTGGGCGTCTCCACCCTGACCTCTAGTTCATCTCTTTAGGGTCAGGAAAATCTCGCCAAGAGAGGACACCCTGCAGGTGCCAGCCTGTGCCCGGGAAGCTGGGCTGGGCCCCTCCTGCCTCTGGGCCCCAGGGAGCCCTCGCCTTCCCTGGAGAAGCAATAACCACCCTGCCCTCCCCCCTTCCCCCACCTGGGCTGGGGCCACCCGCCGGCCGTGCCCTCTGGAGTGAGGGCCCCGTACCCGCTTCTCCTGGCAGCTGCCTCCCCCACCCCCGTCCTGGTTTAAGTGGGGTGCAGTTCTGTGGCGAGTTCTCGCCCAGCCTGCAGGAGGCCTGGTCCATTCCCAGCACAAGAGGGAAGGACCAGAGTGGCAGGTCTGGCACAGCCCGGAGGAGCCCGGGGCTGGGTGAGCCCTCGGGCCCTGCCTGCTTCTGTCAGGCTGCCTCTGTCACAGTTTGAGGGGACCCAGCACCTCTGCCTCCAGTCCTTGGTGCTGTCCGCCAGGCCACTGCTCTGGGGTCCTCTTTCCCATGAGTCCCCTCCAGGACAAGGCTGACACGCTGTCTGCCCCACCCGTGACCCTGACCTCCTGTCACCGCGAAGACGCCCGCCCCCGATGTGTCCTGTTCTGTGTGTGAACATGCTGCGTCTTGTTTCGACTGTGCGCCCCTGGGCAGGGACCGTCTGCACACGTGTTCCGTGCGCACGCCTGGGTGTGCTAATAAACATGCATCTGCAGAACCTCAGCCCTCCGTGTCTTGGGGAGACCCTGGGACAGGCGGCTGAGGCAGGGGGGTGCTCCGGGCAGGATCCAGGGCGAGACCCTGTGGGAGGGGAGGGACTGGGCTGGGGAGGCCCCTGCACTGGGGGAGGGGGCTCTGGGCCCCGGAATCCCCCGTCCAGACTCCAGCCTGCAGGGACGGCAAGGCCTGGCTGCAGTCCTGCACATTGCTCGCAGGCCTGGGAACCCAGGGTTCAGGTGAGCACTGGGTCAGGAGCCCTCAGCCCCCGCACTGGCCCTGCCGCTCCTCTTTCCTCTCCTCCCAGCTCCTGCCCTTGCTGCTCCAGCCCCAATCCCAGCTCCAACCCCAACCCCGTGGTGGCCTCTGCTTGAGGTGGCCTGGCACAAGCACGGTTCCTCCAGGCTCCGCCCAGCTCTGGTGGCCCAGGGCTGCCAGGGAAGTGCAGGTCTTGCCCCGAGCCTGACCCTGCCGGCCTTGGCTGGCACTGGGGCTATCAGTGCCCTCATGAGGCCAAGGGAGAAGTCGTAGGAAATGAGCAAGGGAGTGCCCAGCTCCTGGGACAGTGCTCTCCAGCGCCAGGGGAGCTGTGACAGCCCCTGGCCCGGGCACCCCTCCTCCCCTGGCGCCCCTCATGAATGCCGGGTGGTCCCTACCCTCGGGCATCCACACTGCTTCAGCTAGACTAACTTCCCAGACAGCGAGCCATGGGACAGCCGCCTGGCGCGGAGCTCCGCTCTCTCCTGGGAGACGGCAGCTGTGCACAAGGCGCCAACCCTGGCAGCCAGCGCCCAAGTGGGGAGCAAGCGCCTCAGCTGGGCAGAGGAGCACAGAGCAGGCCCTTGGCGGCTGCAGGAGAGCACAGGGAGCCGACCAGAGGAAGAAAGGGAAGAGCTCAGTGCAGAGGAAGGAGGGCAGGCAGACTGGCCTGCAGTGTCAGCTCAGTGGCCACCTCCTCTGCAGATAGAGATGGGCACTTTGGCTGCATCGAGGCCATCGGGCAGCTGGGAGTCACCTGTGGCTTGAGGCCAGACCAGGGCATCTGCCCTCTGCCCACTCCAGTCACGGCTCAGAGGGCACTCCTCGCCAGCCAAAGTGCCCACCCTGCCTAAGCAACCTCCCGAAGTCCTCTTCCCCGGGACCGGGGTCCAAGGAGAGTCCCCGCAGGCACTAGGGTACTGCCTGAAGGAGCAGGCTGCGCAGCCTCCACCTCAGCGGGGCCCAGCCCAGCACTGGACAGAGCCTGACCTTTTGGGCCCATGTCACATCAGCTCTTGTTGCCATGGGAACAGAGGCCCGCGGGCCTCGAGGCTGGAGTTTTAGTTTTCTCCCTTTCTTTAAATCTTCTTCCCCTGAGAAAGGGGAGCAGGCAATGCAGAACTGAGCAGGAGAGGTGAAGGAGACAGGAGGGCCTGGAGCGAGTGCGGTCACCAAAGGGACAGGGTGGTACCTTAGGGGAGCACAGAAAGGTCACTCAGCTCTTGGGAGAGGCAAACACCCAGGACTTGGGAAGCCGAGTCTGGCTAAGACGGGACAGTGAGCCTGGCAGAGGACCGGCAGCGGGGAGGAAGAGGCCTGTGACACCTGGACAGAGCCTGCAGGTGGGGAGCGCCTGTCCCCAGACAGAGCTGGGGCCCCGGGCAGGACCAGGGCCAGGGCAGGGGAGCCATGACTCCGGAGCTTGTAAATAAACAGGCATGTAGGAGACGCAGTCTTCCTCCATGAAGTGTAATTGACGTGTGCAGCCAGTTTTCTTCCTGAAGAAAACACGACCCAGGGGCCCTGCCTCTGACAGGTTCAAGGCCTCGGCCTGCCCCTCCTCCCCTTATTGCTCCGTGGGAAAGATCTGGCCCTGGGAACGGAGTGAGGCACACAGGCCAGCCGTGCCCTTGTAAGGGAATGGGGAGCACAGGCAGTGGGAGAGGCCCAGCAGCTCCCGAGCTCGCAGCCTCTCTCTTTGGTGCAGGACGCCAGGCAGGCACAGTGGCTTCTTTTCAAACTCGACAGCTGCCGGCTTGGGGCTGTGGGGAAGGGAGATGCCAGGCACATGCTGGGCGTCGGGGAGGGAGCCCCACAGACGCTGGGGAGGGGAAGCGGCGGGCCGGTGGAGGGGCAGGGCCCCTGCTCCCCCTGCGCGGCCCTGGGCCCACCTCCCGCCTCCCACCTCCCACCTCCCACCTCCCACCCAGCTCTGCCCTGCACAGTGCACCGGAGGTGGCCGCTGGCTGCCGAACCAGACCGCGTGGGCCTGGAGGGCCAAACCCCAGGAGGACGGAGACGCCCTGGGCACCTGGAGCCGTGGCCCAGGATCCAAGGGGAAGCTGCCAGCTCTGCTGGGATAGGGACTTCCGCCCAGAGGTCACGGGTGTGAGGACGCCCCGGGCCGCCCTACGCCCCAGGGCTTCCTCGCTGCCGGCCTCTCGGCCTCCCGACCGGCCTCAGGTGCCCAGGCCTGGCGGGGCCTCCAGGGCCCGGGCGCCCGCGCCGCCGATCAGCAGCTCCTCCTCCTCGTCGTCCTCGAAGGCGCGCGCGAGGCGGCGGGGCGGTGGCCGCGGCGTGGGCTCGTCGCGCTCAGCCATGCGCTCGACGGCGCCCTCGCCCACGAGGAAGACCGTGTCGGCCACGCGCGGGGGCCCGGTGACCGGGTTGTGGTCGTAGGAAAAGACGCGCAGCGCGCGGAGCGGGTGCAGGTCGGGGAATCCGCCCAGGCGGTTGCGGTCCAGGTCGAGGATGTGCAGGCGGCCCATGCGCAGCAGCGCGGGCGGGAACTCCTCGAAGCGGTTGCCGTAGAGCCAGAGCCCGCGCAGGCCGGTCATGCGCGGGAGCTCGGCCGGCAGCGCGCGCAGCCGGTTGTCGCCCATCTGCAGCGACTGCAGCGCCGCGAGGCGCAGCAGCGGCCGCGGGAAGCGCCGCAGGAAGTTGCCCTCGATCCAGAGGCAGCGCAGGCTCTGCAGCTGCGCGAAGTCGGCGGGCAGCGCGCGCAGCCGGTTGCCGCCCAGGTAGAGGCGCGCGAGGCGCGGCAGGCGGCACAGCCCGTCGGGCAGGAGCTCCAGCTTGTTGGAGTCCAGCGCCAGGATGCGCAGCTCGCGCAGCTCCTCGACCTCCTCGGGCAGCTCGCGCAGCCCCGCGCCGCTCACGTACAGCTTCTGAAGGCGGCCGAGCGCGCACACGGCGCCTGGCAGCCTCCGCAGCCGCCGCCCGCTCAGCTCCAGCTGCTGCTCGCCGCTGCGCAGCTGCTCCTCGGCGTCCGACGGCAGCTCGTCCAGCGTGGACTCCGCGGCGCCCATGGTCACGGGCCCCGGCCGGGGCCGCCGCCGCGCCGCATCGCCCCGCTCGCCCCTCCCGCCTGCCCGCGCCGGAGGGGGCGCCCGCTCCGGGCCGGGAGACAGCGCCGCTCGGGCCCCGCCGCCGCTCCGCGAGGCTCTGGCTCGGGTCGGCACCGGCTCTCTGCTCGGCGGCCCGTCGCCCTGGCAACCCCGGACGCGCGCGGGGTGGCCAATGAGCCGTGAGAGGGCGGGGCCTCTGCTCCCGGGGGCGGGGTTCTCCGCGCGCCCCGCCCCCGCCGGGCTGCTCCTCGCTCCTCATTGGGGCGGAAGCCGCGACCCTGGGGGAGCCGTCCCTGCTCCCTCTGGGCCCTCAGGTAGCTACTCCGGCGGCCGGCGGTGTGACTCTCGTCGCTTTCACACCCGAGGATTGGGGGCGGGGCTCGGCCCCCTCGCCGCCCGGTCCGCGCCTGAGACCCCACGGCGTCCTGCGTCCCGGACAGAAGCAGGCGCGGAGAGGTTGCCTCGAGCAGTGCGCCCTGGGTGGGCAGCGCTGGGGACCAGAACCCAAGCACGGTGGCTCCAGGGCCCCGGCCCAGAAGCGCTAGTGACGTCCAGGCCTGTGACTGCACGCAGAGCCACGACGAAGAGGCCCGTGGGAGCCGGCCGGGACGCACGGTGAGGAGAGGGCACAGCCCGAGCTCCAGGCTCCTGCTCCCCTCCCAGCCCACTGCCGTCCCCACAGCAGGAAAAAGTTTGATATTTCTCAAAATGGGAGCCAGCAAAGACCAACCGGAGCAGCAAGGCCAGGTGCCCTAGGCGCAGACAGGCAGACTTTACATAAAGCCAAGTGCATAGATCCTGAGTGTCCGCTCGGATGCGTGTTGAGAAACACACGCACCTATTCCGTGTCCCATTTCTGTCAGCCAGTGTTCCCGGGATCTTCCCTCCCACGCCAGCGATCGTGACCTTGTCACCAGGGCTCAGTTTTCCCTGATCTTGGCTTCCTCTAATGACGCTGCCCCCGCACACTGCTGGCTTCTGGCCTCTTCTGACCTGACACCGATGAGGATTTGCTGGATAAAGCGAGGGAAGGCGGAGTTACAGCAGCTCTCACGGACAGGGGGTCTCGGGTGCCAGGTGCCAGGGGCAGGTGTTCTCTCCATCGGGACTCAGCTGTGAGCCTTGATCCTGGGAGAGGCTGGGGTGGGGTGAGGACTCAGCCTAGATGGGGGACCCTGGCCAAGATGGTGCTGAGCCCAGACTGCAGAGCAGGTGGGTGGGGGCTCCAAGCTCTCTCCACCTTCGCTCATCTGGGGCCTCTCGGGGAGGCCTATCTGGGGACCCCCAGCCGCCTCGCCCAGGGAACATTTGCCACACTCGGGGGTGGCACTGCAGCACCAAGCGCCCTCTCGGGCTCCGTGGGCATGGGCAGCACCACACGAGCCCCTGCAGCCCCAGGCAGGCTGGCGCGGCCCTCACCCTAGCCAAGTCTTTTGCCTGAGCTCAGTAGACCTTGTACCTTCGCCTCCCGCCCAGTCCTTCTCAGTGGGTAAAGGTAAAATGTGCTGGCGTTCTGGCCCACGCAGGCTGGCGGCGGGGCAATCATGGCGATGAATCACACTGGCACTACAGGTGCCTGGCCGCTGCTGCTGAGGCGTCACTAATGAATTAGCTTCACCCCGGGGTGGCCGCTCCCTGCCCTCCCCCCAGCAGGAAGCAGGAACAGCCTGCCCTTGGCAGCTTGGTGCTCCCAGACCCTGGCCGTGCCCCTGCGCACGGCTGCGCAGATGCCATGACACAGGCCCCAGGCCCTGGTCGGAGCCACGGCCGTCGTGCCACCCTCACATGTCGCTGAGGGAAAAGCACGGCGCTCTCTGTGGCAGCCCCTGGGGCTGGCTCCAGCCTCCATCTGTTCAGGTTCTCTCAACTCGCTCTAGATCCATTTCCTGTATAGAAAGAGTGGAAGAGCAGGGCCCTGTGGAAGGCCCCTGCCTGTCCCGGGTCAGGACCGAGAATCCAGGCGGGAGCACTGCCTTGGGTCCTCCCACAGCAGAGACTTGAGCCAGCCAGAGGGATCCCCAAAATCTCAGACAGAACAGGGAGAGAAGCGGGGCACCGCCCACAGGAGCACGCAGAGGTGGGACTTGGGGGGGTGCACGGCTGCCAAGGGCCTGGCCCCTCGTCTGGCAAAGGGGAAAGGGGTGGCTTCCTTCATACCAGGCCCACTCCCCTCACCTGCACCAGCCAGAACTCCTGTCCCTGAAATTTCTGATATTCATTCAACAAACCTTAAACACCTGTTCTAGGCGAGGCACTGGGGAGTGCTGTGCCTGTGAACCTGACAGAAGTCCCCAGCTTGGTGGACTGGCATCCTTCTTGGTGGAAATCTTCCACAAAGCACACGGGCAGGTGCCGGTCAGGCTGTGGGGGGAAAAGAGAGGAGGATGGGGCAGGTGCTGCCGTCAAACACAGCCGAGAGGGCTTGGAGAGCATGCGGTGGGGAAAGGGAGAGGGGCGGAGGCAGGCTGATGTGGAGGGTGTGCTCCTGGCAGGGGCCGGCAGGGGCAGCTGGGTGTCCTGGGGCCGCAAGAAGCCCACAGAGCAAGGGGTGGTGGCAACAAATGAGGCTGAGGGGCGCAGCCAGGAAAGGTGGACCGCGGAGGCCTGCGGCCCTGGCCTTGGGGGAGGCCCTGGGTCCCGAGCAGAGTGAGCTCTGGCCCGAGCGGAGCAGGCGGGTGAGGGCCGTTTGTGCCCTGTTCTCCCACACAGTCCCAGCTCACTCCGAGCACCCATGGGTCGGCCCGCGGCCTTCCCCACCGCTGTGCCCCACCTCTCTCTCCAGCACGGCAGGGAGGGGCAGCAGCTTGATCAGGGCCAGGATTCTGACCCAGCTTGCCCACTGCAGAGGCCGGAGGAGCTGGGGAGGCCGTCCGGGAGCCCACACTCCTGCCCCTCCTGACCACAGCGAGCAGTTTCCAGAGTGCCAGGCTCGGAGATTGCATGTGTGTGTGGGTGCGTGTGTACGCATGTGTGTGTGCATGCCCGTGGACGTATGCATGTGGGTGTGCGTGTGCGCGCGTGTGCAGTGGTGCCTGCCTGGGCCCAGGGCCTCCTGCAGGTTAAGCCAGCGCTCACCACTGAGCCACACCACAGGCTCTTGGAGAGGTGGAAGTTCTGGGAAAGGCCGGAGTGGTTAAGGGCTGCACCTCCTCCACGCCTGGGCCTGGCTGCGGGGCAACCCCAGAACCCCCTAAATAGGTCTGGGGCAGGGTCCCGGGCGTTCTCTGGCCCGTCAGCCACGCCCACACGGCAGCTGCCTGCTCTCTGCTCCGAGAAACCGCAGCCCGTGCTGCCTGGGATTGCGTTCCGGGAACGTAGCTCCAGGGCCCCTGTCTGCCCTGTGAGAGCTGAGTCCTCCCACGCTCAGGGACTCCCGAGCGGCTGACAGAGGCCAAGGGACTGTGGCGAGGGGCAGCGGCTGCCTGGCACCCAGGCTGGGCCTCCGTGCTGGGACTGGGGCCTGACCATCCTGAAGGGGTCCGGGCGCCTTTGTGCAGAACGGCCTGGCACGCTGGGGTCTTCCGCTCCAAGAGGACAGTGCCAGTCCCCAGCGCTATGCCAAGGACTCCCCGCCCGGTCCCTGCCCCGTCAGGGGCTGCCAGGGTGTTGGCTTCTGTCTTCCATGGCTTCTACTCTGCAGAACCACTTTATCAGGCCAGAGCCAGTGATGGGGCAGAAGGGAGACCAGCACCACATCAGCGCCCCCTCAGCAAGGACCTTCTTGTATGGTAACAACCGACACATAGGGACCTACATCCCTGAGCCACTGCTTGGGGCTGAGCTACCACACCCACGTTACACTGAGAAATGGAGTAAAAGTTTGAGGCATTCAGCTGGTTAAACTCCAGGGCTGTCTGTAACAGAATTAGCCTCAACTGCCTGATTTAATTCACCCCAGGACCTTTGCACATGCCCAGCCCTCTGCTTGACGCACATGATTCATTCTTAGGGTCTCCACTGAGGTCTTTCCAACTCCGGGAATCCTTCTGGAGTCCCCAGAGCATGTCAAGCTTACAGTATGGCTTTTTGAGTCCCCATGTCTCCTCAAAGGACTTACTCCAACTGTAGTAAATAACTAACTGTGAGCTCTGAGTGTAGGAACCTCTCTCTTGAGCGCGTCCCTAGGGCTGCCTGGCCCCCTTGGGGCTGTCCCCATCTCTGTTCCTCAGTTCTCACCGGGAGAATGAGTCAGGGACTCGGGGAGGTGGGAGGCACTGCTCGAAAGTGGGAGCTGGAGGTGGGGCTCAAACTCCGTATTTAGGGTTAAGGACGACCTCATGGGATATTTTCAAAAATTCAAAAGGAATGCTAAAAAATTCATGATGAACTCAATACTAAACAAGGACCAGATTGTTAGGAGCGCTGTGCCTGGTGAGCCCACCCCTTCCCCATCGCTGTCCTTTGGGGAGTCACCTCTGGGATGCTTTGGGTGCAGATCTGCTGATTATCCACCCCCATTCAGACGTTAAGCTGCTCCCTCTGTTTGCTGCTCTCCAAGGGAAAATGAGAACAAAGTGTCAAATCCTTGGCTCAGAGCTGCAAAAGAGGCTTTGAGCCCAGAACTGAGACTATACCCTTACTAGAGCGGGACGTTGAGAAATCTTTTCTGTAGGTCCTAAAGCCTGGCTTTGAACTTGAAGAGCAGGAAGCAGACGCCGTGAGCCCTGGAGAGGCAAGTGGTGTCATCTCAGAAGCCAGAGCCCACCCAAGAGGAGACGAGAGGCTCAGCCTGCCAGGCAGCGGGCAGCGCAGGCACAGAGCCACTCGTGACACTGCTGGGAAAGAGACCTGGGTGGCACCAGAGAAGCCCTGGGTGTCAGGGGACGGGGCAGAGAGACCGACCTGCACTCCCCTGGCAGATGTGGCCTGTGGTCCTCCCAGGCCCGACCCAACCTGGAGGTGGAGGGAGGTGTGGGTGGAGCCTGTGGGGTTTCGGGGTCCAGGAAGGCAGCTGCCCGCTGATGTAGGACCCTGATCAGCAGACATC